CATCTCCAGGCCACTGTCTAAGAACCTCCTACCCAGTCAGCTGGCATTCCTATCCCTCCACGTCCCATGTAGCGAACTTACCTCTGCCCAGGCTGGTCTCCTGGCTGGGCAATTCCCTCTTTCCTGTCTCTGCATGGTTTGGTACCACCTACATTGCCACACTGATAATTTATTTATTTATATATGTATTTATAACCTGCCTCCTTCTAAAAATTATTTCAGAGAGTCAAGTCATTGGCCCACAAGTCCCAACCAGCTCAACTTCTCTTTCCTCTCAGAGCCTCCTCCTTACTATGTAGAGGCAGGGTATATCACTCCCTTCCCTTCTCTTACCTCCTAGTAAACTTTATTTTTTATGACTACCGTGTCACTTCTCATGATCCATCCAGTATTACTGTTGCCATTTCTTATCACCTAATTTCCCTCAACTGTCACCTACTCCACCTGACCTGATTCTTCCTCAGTAGAGACCACCTCCGACTCATCTTCTTATCTGGAACTCAACATGGTGTTTATCTTATGGTAAGTGCTCAGAAAGTGTTTTTGGGATGAGGGGACCAAGCTTAATGCAGCTTCTTCTCTGGGTCCTGGGGGGACCCGCCAGAAGGGATCATCACCCCCCATGACTGGGGCTGGGAGTGACGAAGGAATACTTCCATGTATGGGGGGAGTGTGCTAGCACCTCGTCAATTCTCCAAGGTGGGCCAAGTCCACTTCCTGATGAGCTGTGTGACCACCCCATAGCCTGAAGCAAACCCCCAGAGGGAACTAAGCCAGGGTCATAGTACATTGGTCATCTCCAGGAATTGAGGATGGCATGAGTACCCTGATGTCCAGCAACCAGGCTGGACATCACCACTGTCCAGGACAGAGGTGAAGAGGTGAAGGGCTCTCTCTCTCTTCCCAAGGTCTTGATGCCTGACTCTTCCTGCCTGCTCTGCTTCCTGCTCTCCAAAATAGCCCAAGTTTATTTTATCCCCTCCCCGAGTTTACATCCCAGTCCAAACGGTGACAAAGAGAAACACCTCATCATCCAGAGACAAGATGTTCAGAGGCAAATGTTGGTCTGTTCAGAGCAAAAGAAAAACACAAAACAAAACCAGGAGGAAACTTGGAGGCTGCTAAGGAAGGGTCTGTATGATGGCCATAGCCTTTGGCTTGGTCCCTCCTGAGCCTCAGGAAGGAAGCATATGGGTCACCCCGGGGAAGGCTGGCACTGGCCTCCTGGGCTCAGGTTCCTCCCAGTCACCCTAACTCCGAGGGCACATCATCAGTGAGTGTTGGCCCTCACTCCAAAGCCTGTCATAACCACCAAGTGGTGAGTCCGCAAGTAATGCCAGACCAGAGATGTGAGGGAACCTTCAGAAGGGGGTGGGCAGGAATTAAGCTCTGCATCTCTTTCCTAAAAGAACTTGGGTTTATCCTTCTGCTTGGGCCAGGAGAAACCTGATCTTTACTCCTAACCAAGCTTTGTTTCCTTTTTCTTACAAAACTTCCCACTGAGAAAAGGAAGTATCACACCAAAGCAATTCTAGAAGTGGAGGAGGGGTGGAAGGAGAGAGGAAAAGGAAGCTCTTCAGAGAGGGCCACCCCAAGGCACCCAGAGCCAGAAGCCCTCTCTGGGTCAGCACCACAAGGGGCAGTGGTAGGAACACAGACATGGACTCATGAGACTTGGGTTGGATTTTAGTTCTCCCACCAGCTGTGCCACCCAGGGCAAGTCTCTCTGGGCCTCAGGTTCCTTATCTGTAAACTGAGGTTAACAATCCCTGCCTCCCCAGGCCAGAGGAGGAAGTGAGAACACAGGACAAGGAGCAGCCTCACACATATGGGTGGTAAAGGGAGAAACCCAGCTCTCCCTGTCCCCAGGAGCAGCAAGGATGCTATGGATCACTCAGAAAGGAAGCCTCATGGGAAAATACATTCAGGAACCGATTTCGCCAAAGGAGAAGGACTATAACCCTTACCATGGCTGAGAGCTAAGCTAAGGCCAGCTCACCTTGAGACCTCTGGAGAAGAGTGAGGCCTCTGGTCTGCTCTCAGAAAAGGAGGAAGGCATGATTCTAAAACTCTCACTGGTCCTCCTTTGGCTGTGAAGCCACCTTGGGTAGCCTTTGCTGTGCCCAGGGGCAGCGAGCAGTGGGGAAGGTTGTCCCCACCTGCCCCCAGCTCAGACCAAGAGAATGGAGCAGGATTGAGCATCCCGGCCTGGAGCTGGTCTGAACAGAACAGCTCTTTGGGCCAGGCCGGTAGCTAGGCAACAGGCTCTCCTAATCAGCTCAGTTCACTTTCCGTTGGTGTCTGTTTTGCTCTTGTCATAACGCACTACTCAAATGTCCGAGCTGTTGTGTGCAAAGAGATGCCTTAGGGCAGAGAGCAGCAATTCTGGCCTTATGTGCCCTCCTAAAGGACATCCCAAATCCAGCTCACTGTGGAGCTGCAGACCCTTCCAGGGAGGCAGTGGCTGAGAATGGAGGAAGGATGCACACATAGCCAGGGCACAGGGCAGGGACAGTGTTACTAGCTTGGGTCAATGGAGTGACAATGTGCAGTTCCAGAACCCCCTGCATGGCACAGTGCCCTCAGGCCTAGAGAAGTAACAGAGCAAATATCCATTCTGATGTTCCCATCTGCTCCTGGGTTTTCTGATGTCATCCATAGGGGGTACAGGACCTCAGAACACCAAGCAAGCAAGAGCAAGAAACTAGCCACCTCTCCATCCTGCAAACACCCTCATTCAGTGGGAAGGGCATGTAGTAATCACAGAAGCAAGAGTTTGGGGGTCAGGGAGCTCTGACTTTTATTCAAAGCCCTGCCACTATCTTGCAGTGTGATCTCAGACCAGGTATCTAGCCACTCACAGCTTCGATTTGTTAAATGGGGGTAATAGCCTTGTTTTAAGTTGATTTGCAAGAGCACCTGCACAGGATGCTCAATGAATAGCACTTATTAATTTTCTAAATTGTGTATTCCCACTTGTGTGACCAGGAGCAGCTGAAGGCTTGCCTTTGTTGTATTCCATAGCAGTAAGTAGGCTACTCATCAGTACGTACAACCTGAAAGCTGGAAACTAGGGACAGTTTGCTGGCTCTGCCATTACTTAAGTGTCTTTGTCAAGACATTTAACGTTTCTAAATCCTGGTTTCTTCATTCCTTAAATGGGAGAGTTAACTCTACGCTGCCCTAAACTTCAGATTTCAACTGGAATGCTTGGGCTGATACAAACCATGTCAAAAGGGCAAAGCATCTTGGGTCCTTGAAGGATTCCAAAGGGCAATCAAAGCTCTCAGCTTAATTACAGAGACCCCTGGCTGGGCCATTCTGCAGTGAGTTGAAGAAAAAACTCAACTCAAGGTTAGTTAGTATAGCCCTTTGCAATTCCAGAGGGAAGAAGCTGAAAGGGTGAGTAGACACCAGAGATTCCAGGATGCTCAGAAATTGGGCCTAGCTCCCCTAACCACCTCCTCACCTAACTGACACTTTTCCCCATTTCTATCAAGCTAAATCTGCCTCCTCCTTGTCCCCCTCCCCTCAACTTTAAGACTCTCAATAACCTGCACATGTCTTTGTCTTTTAGTTCAGAAAGCTAGCAAACTTCATGAGAAGCTTGCAGAAGCCACAAGCATGAAAAGCCTGTGAACTCACAGCAGACCTTAGCCAGGGGCGTTACTGTGCTCTCACCTTCTAAGCTGGTCTCAAGGCTGCAATAAAAGAAACCAGGGGTGGACGGTGGGGCGGGGTGGAACTTTTCCTTTGCGACTAGGATGAGGCTTAGCCCATGAGATGCTGGTAAGAGGGCAGGGCTCTGAGACTCATTAACATAACCTGGGATGCCAGAGGTACCTATCAGTTTCAGCTTCCTAGCATGAAGCAGTCCCCAGACCAAACAAATTACTTTGCTCTTTCCTGTCTCCCAGAGACCCCAGCCAGGCTTTAGGCTACGGCCATGAGATCAGACACCAGCCTGCAGAGTTTTCTTGTTCAAAGAATCTAAAGCTTCCTTCTGGGTTTTAGCTGTCCAAGTGTAACAGGGTGAGTGACTTAGTCCCTTCCCATCACCCCCTTCCACCTACCAGGGTTAAGGAAAACTGGATTAATTTAGGGAGGAGGTGATAGGGAAGGACCAGTTCTTGCCTAAATCAATCCGTGCTCTCCCTCCCCACATATGCCCATTTCTAGCTGTAACCTGAACGAGGGCTTTCTGGGAAGCCACTTTGTGCTGCAGCAGGAAGACAAGGAATGGCAACAAATCTGGTAACATCACCAGGAAGCCTGTGGCTGGCCACTGCCCTGGGAACCTGAAAGACCTAGAATAGCGGGCTCTTCCTGGCTAACTCTCTCCCATCCTTGCTGAGTAGGAGACTGCCAGGCATGCAGGAAGCCTTGGGGCATGGCCTGCTCCCTGGAAGAAACACAGCCCTGCTCAACCTGACCAAGTCTGGGTTCTAGGCAGCTCTGCCTCTTGAGAGCTGAGCATATTGGAATCTATGTCCCCTCTCTCTGAAATGCATAGCTGTCACCACAGAGATCTGCTGGCTAGATGTAAATGGGGTGGCATGGCATGAAAACATCTAAAACACACACACCCCAGCTTTCTTCCCTCAGTCCTGCCTCACCCCAGAAGAAGGCCAAATTCCAGATCTCCAGGACCAAAGGGCCGCTGAAGATGTGGTGGCCTGTGCCAATCAAAGGAGGAGCTGGAAAAGCCAAGCTGAGGGCACCCCACTTACTTGGGGGTGGGGGGGGTTGGAGGGGAATGCGGCAGAGCAGGCAGTTGGGATTGGGTCCAAGTAGTAAGTCAAGTGTGTGCAATCTCTTGATAGAGCATGCAGGGGAGAGGGTGGGAGTCATTCCCTGAGGGCCCTGGAGGGAGTTGGGAGGGATTCAGGAATAGTCTGCCCTAGTAAATCGGTCTCCCTCTGCTCCTCCCTGCTCCTCCCCACCCCCACCAAGCACCCCTTGGAGACCAAGATAGAGAGACCCGGGCTGCTGCCACTCACCCTAGCTGCCCGGGAGGAGTAGGGATCCTCGAAGAGCGCCCACATGCGGGGCTGCCAGCCACGGCAGCCCCCGGATCCGGCGCCCGGGCCCGCGCCTCCCTCGTGGGGACCCAGACGCTGCAGGGCCAGCTCCCGCTCATCGTCGCCGGCCTCGTCGCTGGGCCCCGCGCCACCGCCACCCCCGTCAGGGCTTTCGAAAATGTCGAGCGCCTCCTCGGCGTCTCGGTGCTGGCGGTAGGTCATCCAGCAGCAGGGTTCCACATCGGTCTCATCGATGCCCCAGAAGGTGAGCTCCTCCTCGAAAAGCGGCCCGCACACGTCGGCGGGGCAGTGCAGCTTGCCTGTGCGGGTAGTAGTTGAGCACATAGGCGAAAACGCCCGGGTGCCGATCGAAGAAGAACTCACAGCCCCCGCCGCCACTGCTGCCGCTGCTGCCCGCACCGCCGCCATCGGACTCGGGCCGGCCCCCGCCGTCGGGATCGGCCAGCCAGGCGAGGCGGGTGCCGGGTAGAGTGCGCAGGGTGCTGCGGTAGGTCTCATGTCGCGTGCCGCCCACGTTGATGATGATCTTCTCCGACGCCTCGCCCTTGGCCATCTCCTCCTTCAGACATGTTTTGGACGGAGGCTTGTTCCCCGACTTGCGCCCGCGGTAGGAGGAGACACACACCGAGCTGATCATAAGAAGCGCTGCGGGGCTCCGGCTTGGGGCGGCCGCTGCCCTCCAAACACCCTTCCCGAGGAGGCAGCGTCAGACGGGGGAGGGGGAGGAGACGAGGAGGAGGCAGGAGGCGGCGGCGGCGGCGGCCCCCTCTGCGGCTTGGCCCTGTCCCTGCCTCCCCCCCGGGGCGCCGAGCGGGAGGAGTTGGGTTTCTCCGGTGCACAGGTGGTTGGGATTTGGGCAGGGAGCGCCGGGGAGGGAGGCAGGTGGGGGACAGGAGAGCTGAGGATTCAAGCGAAGGCCCCGGAGAGATAGAGGCAAGCACACTCAAACGCCACCCAGCTTGGACGGGACACAGGGACGCTCGGGGCCGGAGACACGCCCCCCCCCCCCGTCCCCCAGAAAAAGATGTGCACAGTCCCGGAGCACTGCGAGGGTCCGCTGCGCGCGCGCGCTCACACTCACACGGGCCACCCTCCGGCTCCCAGACCGCGCCAAGCCTGGGAGCGGCCGGTTCCCGCGGCGGCAGCAGCAACAAGTCCTCCGAGCGGCTGCCGGGTCCAGGCCGATGCGCTCACGGCTGTCGGAGCTCCGCGGGCCCGGGCTGCCTGCGGTCAACACGAGGCGGCGGCGGCTGCATGTGGCCTCTTCCCCCCATTCATAAATCCAGCGCTGGGCACCGATGGCGGGCGGGGCTCAGCAGAGCTAGGCGGACCGGCGGGCGGGGGCTGCGCAGAGCGAGGCGACCGCAGGAAAACAAGCGCGCCCGCAGAGCGAGCCGGGGTCCTGCGGCCAGCGGCTGCGTTGGGCTGGGCGCCGCGCTGCGGGGGCCGCGCCGGGGCGGGGGGGTGGCGGTGAGATCAGACGGGGCGTCCTGCGCGGCACCAAGCCTGGGGGGGGCGGAGCCGCTCCGTGGATCGGGGCACTGGGTGCTGGCGAAGGAGTCTTCCGGGCGGCTGCCGAGCGGCCAAGGACACCTGCAGGCTTCCACCGCCGCGCCTAGCAGGAGACTCAGCGCAGCGCTCCGGCGCCGGGTTCCTGCGATCTGGCGGCGCCGGGAGCCGCGCCATCTACGCGTCTGCCCATCTCCGGGCCGGGCGCCGGCCTTGGCTCGCAACAGGGGGCGGGCGCGAAGTGGTCTGGAAGAGGGCGCCTGGGAGCAGAAGGACTAAGACTCAGGGGGCTCTGCGTCTAGCTCCTGCGATAGCAGCGGTCTCGTCGCTCCAGTGGCGCCTTTGCTTCCCAGCCCCGCCTGTCCTGGGCGCGCCCTCCTCCGGGCGGGGTGGGCGCGGCGCGGGGCCGACCCGGTCGCTGCAGGGCCCGGCGGCGGAGCTCAGCCTTCCTCGGCTCAGCGGATCACAGTTCAGGCGCGTAACCCCCTCGCCGCCCGTGCCCGGCCTAGCGCACCGCCCCTGCGCGCCTCCGCCATCATCTCCTCCCGCCCCCTCGTCCGGCTCCCCGCCTTTCCTGAGCCCGAGCTCCTCCCACTGCAGCCCCGGGGACACCCAAGCGCTCTCAACCCCTAACCTCTACCCTCTGCCAGCCTCTTCTTTCAGAACCTGTCTCCCCTTCCCCGCCAAGCTGGTGGCATTGTTGCTGTTTCACTGTAGTTGACTAGAGGCGGGATGGAAGAGAATGAAGAGATCCTTCTCCAGGAGGCGGCTGCCCTCTCCTGCTCCAGCCCCCTGACCACCGTGTCCCCACCTACGCCTTGGAAGCTGCTATCTTGATGCTTTATGGCCTCTATCAAGTCACTACAGTTCCCACCATGGAACCAGGACTGGGAGACCTTGAGCAGAGAAGCAGCTGTGGTCTGGGTGGAGGGAAGTCAGAACCGTGACTCTGGCCCATGGAGAAATGTGTTATGGGTGTGGGGTGGTGACCCTGAAGATCATTAGGCTAAAGCCCTGGCTCACAGTTGCCCGGTGGTCACATAGGAAGTGCCAGGTCCTGCTTTGTGAGCTCCTCCTGGTCCTCTGTTCCACTCCTTGCAGTGAGGCTTTTCCTGTGGCTCTGTCTCCTCTCCCCTCCCTGACACTGAGCCTGGCCAGGCCGCACTGTGCTTTTTCATCTTGATAGCTCCCTCAGTGTCTGCCTCTGAGAACCTGTTTGCTAAGTGATGGAGAAGTTGCCATATCCAAAACGTTAGGCACCAACCGGACTTTGCTGGCCCCATCCCAAGAGCAATTTCCAGATTCATTTGTTTTATTTGTTTTAAAGCCCGGAATCTCTTCTACATCTTTTAATTCATCCTCCCCCCTCCCCCCATTCCTTTCCTCTCAGCAGCTTCAGGCATGTCTGTCTGGGTGATACAAGAAAGATTTTAGGATGAAAATGCAAGGTGGTGACACACCTTCCCGGAACACCTGTGCACCATCCGATTTCCTGATTCGGCACTACCTGGCTGTACTGGGAAAGACGATACAAGGGCTCTCATGTGCTCCCAGGAAAAGTCAACAGCCTGCAACAATGCAAGGGATTTTTTTAATAAGCAAAGGCCTGATCATTAATGAGGTCATAAAACCAAAAATGATGATGCTCTTTGATGATCTGTACAAATAATGCAAGAGAGGGAAGTACCATCCTGGACTGGAGTTAACAAATACACATTTGCTGGCACGCTCCTTGTGCCAGTCTCCCCACTCCTTAGACCCAATGTTTGCATTCCAGAATTTAGCTGGCTTTGAGTTCGCTGCAGCAAAAAGAAATGTTCCAAATGGGACTGGGAAGAGAAGACCTAGGGCTGGCCAGAGCCAGAGTGAGGAAGAAAGAAAACTGAAAAAATATTAAAGAACTGACTGTAACGATGACTTTAAAGTCCTCTCCCGACTGTGTCCTGGAAAGCCCCTTGAAATCTCCCTCCACTTTCCGTTCTTCAGTCAGAGAAAAGGGACATTTTGAGAAAAGGGACAGTTGATGGGTGTGGAGTGAGTGCAGTGGGAAACGCATCACAGCATCCAACACCTGGTTCATTTATTCATTCAATAAACATTGAATAGCTAGTACCTTCCAGAAGTTGTTCCAGGTACCAGACATATATCCAGGAATAAAACAGCCCTCACCCCGGGGAACCTCTGCTTCCATTCTGCAGTGCGGGTGGATGGTGATGAGCACCTGGGGAGAGGGTGGAAAGACTGCTGCCAGGGAAAAAGGAGGCCATGAGGGAAGGAAGGCAGGAAGATGGGAAAGCTGGCGTGGGGGTAGGGAAACCTGGGAAAGCCAAGGAAAACATGCAGATAGAGGTGCACTAGGAGGAGGGCCACTGGCCAGCTCCTGGAGCTCAACGTCAGGCTAGAATCCTCTAGAGAAGGCCTCACCACCTGCTGAAGGTTTTCTTCTCAAGCTTTGAACTAAGCTGTTCCTTGGGTCTTTCTGGGCTTTTCTGGGGGTCAGTTTGTTACAGTTAGCATCATAGGACTCATCTCCATAAGCTCTGTGTGTGAGTGAGACCATGTGATTCCCCCCGAAACACAGACCCCAGGAATTTGAGAGGGGAACCCCTTGCACATCGGCTGGTGCCTGCCTACTGTGGGTGGGAGGGTGCTGCCCCCTGGTGGTGCCAGGTCAGCCTGGCTCCTGACCTCACCCTTTGCTTCAGGTTGTGATGGTGAGTAGAAAAGCCACTGCTGTTGGCCTAGCTAAGGTGGCAACTGGTCCATGGCTTCCTGTTGATTACAGGACCTCAGGTACTGGCCAAGTCTAATGTTCCCATCCAAAATTCAGTCTACTCTCTCCTCTCCATTCCTCAATACCTGGATAGCTGCCCAGTTGAAACAAGACCACAAGCAACCACAGCTTCTTTCCTCGTCTTCACCTTTTCTCCATGTTCCTCCTTTGTGTGCCCTGTATCTTCTGGCTGTAGGCATGAGCATCTATCTGGGAGCCAGTTCACACTGCGGTGTCAGTTGCATGGGTTTCCCTTATGAAGATTGAGGGCATGGCCAAAGAAGAGAGAGAGGGGACGATATTTGATTCTAGAGTGACACTGATAGGGACTGTCATGCTCCTGTAAACTTTCCAGAGCCCCTCAAAGAAGGCCCTTACTTGCTAAATGCTGAGCCGTATTCTGCCAGAGGGAAGCAGAGAGTCTGAAATCAAAGCTGTTTATGCTTCCTTTTTCCCCAGTGAGGGCTTGTGTGGACTCAGCCACTTTGGGAAAACAGGAACCATCCATTCTCCCCTCCACCTTCCTTCTTTCCGTCCCACTTGTTCTGAGGGGCTTCAGGCCAAGGAGCAGGCCCCATGGCTGCCAGGGCAAGGTTATAGCCTTTGGTCCCCACACCTCCCCCTTTTGGTCTTTCGGTTCTTGCCGGGGACCAACCACTCCTCCCGTAGGTCCAGGTCAAGGAGCCAGCATCCTTTCCCAGCATGCCTCATTCCCTCTCAGCCCAGCAAATTGAATTGCTTTATCAGGTATCATCACCTGGCAGAGAGAAATAGGCCTTTCACCTCATGGAGGGAGGACGGAAGGGTGAACAAGGGAAGGTTGGGAGCCTTTGTTTGCTCAATAGCTCATTTTACTCTCCTACCCCCACCACTAGGCAGCCTGCAGAGACTCACAGGCTCCAAATCAAATGTGAAAGCCTTCTCAGGAGGGTTCTGGGGAGAACCTAGCCTAAAAAGGACAGCCCAGAGTGACCCAGACTTTGTGGATATCAGCTATTATGGCTCCAACTGAGGGCTAAAGACAGGGCTGACTTGCTGTGACAATCCCGGTGAAGTTGTATTTGGGGCTCTGAGGAACTCAAAAGATAACCTTTGATAGCCTAGCTCTTAAAGGGAAGAGTCCAGAAGGTTGCAGCCCATGAGCTCAGGTTGAACCAGGACTCTGTACCTCATAAACGATGGACTGGAGTCATAGGAGTAGAAAGGACCTGGATGCTAGCTCAATGCACATTCCCATTGAGGGATTTCTGGACTAAGCAGTGGCAATGAACCTGGAAGATGGAGCCATGGCTGGGGTTGGACCCAGCACAGAGAAGAATGTAGGGGCCATGTGGCCTCCACATGTAGAACAGTGTTCATGGGGATAACAGGACCGGGGCAGCG